CCAGAGACCTCGCCCACACTCCGTTGGATGGGAAAGGTTGGCGATGCATCAGCTTTTCAGGTCTAGGGCGCGCTCTCCCTTGTTCGCGATACTACCGCGAACAAGCTCTCTCCTCGCACTCTCCGCTGCGCCTTCCTGGGATTCCCCACTGACGCCCCGCCGTGGCAGTTTTACCACCCTCGCGAGAGTCACGTGTTCTCCTCCTAGGACGTCACCTTTGACGAGTCTGTCTATTTCTACAGGCTCCACCCGCACGCGTCCCACCCGGTCCCCCTGGCGCCTCTCTTCCTGGTACCAGTTCCTCCTCCGGTATACCCCCTCCCCCCACAGGATCCTGCTCCCTCAGGTGTGTCTCAGGTAGACCCACCCCCATTGGTTAAGCCTCTGGAGATCTCTTCTGACTCCTCTGGCCCCGCTGAGGGGGGTGACCCCGCCGCTGACGACACGGCGACCACTCGCCGCTCTCCACGCTTCGAGACCCCTCCTGGTTTTCCGCCTCGACCATCTTTGCCGCCTCTGCAGCCTGTAGCTGTGGACACTGGTGCTGCTGGGGGTGGTGACACTGGGCGTGAGGGTTCTGGGGATGCTGAGACTGGGGGTGCTGGGACTGGGGGTGAGGTTTTTGGGGGTGCTGACTCGGGGGGTGCTGACTCCGGGGGTGGTGCGAGTCCTAGTGGTGGTGGGGCCGTGGGTGCTCCTATTGCAGGTCCTGGCGTTGGACAGCAGCAGCCGCCTAGTCGACTCGAGACGCCCTCACTGCAACAGCTTCGTGAGTGGGTCATTCGGCGAGGCCGCTCTGGTGCTGGAGCTTGGAGTTTCCTAGACGCTGGAGCTGCTGGTGCTGGAGGTACTTCTTGAGGGTGCTGCTGATGCTGGAGCTGCTAGTGCTGGAGGTACTGTTGGAGGTGCTGCAGGTGCCAGAGCTGCTGGTGCTGGAGGTGCTGGAGGAGCTGCTGGTGCTGGAGGTACTACTGGAGCTGCTGGTGCTGGAGGTACTGCTGGAGGTGCAGCAGGTGCCGGAGCTGCTGGTGCTTAAGGTGCTGGAGGTGCTGCTGGTGCTGGAGGTACTACTAGAGCTACTGGTGCCGGAGGCGCCAGAGCTGGAGGTACTAGAGGTCCAGGAGGTGCTGGAGCTGCCGGAGCTGGTGGTGCTGCTGGTGCTGGAGATACTGGAGGTGCTACTGGAGGTGTTGGAGCTGGAGGTACTGGAGCTGCTGGAGCGGCTGGTCCTGGAGGTGCTCGTACTAGAGGTGCTGGAGCTGCCGGAGCCGATGGTGCTGCTGGTGGTGCTGCTAGTGTTGGAGGTGTTGGAGGTGCTGCTGGTGCTGGAGGCGCTAAAGCTATAGGTACTGGAGGTGCTGGAGCTGCTGGTCCTGGAGGTGCTCGTACTAGAGGTGCTGGAGCTGCCGGAGCTGGTGGTGCTGCTGGTGCTGGAGGTGCTGGAGGTGCTGCTGGTGCTGGAGGCGCTGGAGCTGGAGGTACTGGAGGTACTAGAGGTGCTGGAGATGCTACTGAAGTTGCTGGAGCTGGAGGTACTGGAGGTGCTGGAGCTACTGATGGTACGGGTACTACACCGCGCCGACCGTTTTACTACCCGCAGTAGCAGTCGTCCCTGCCACCACCTGACTCGGCCCTTCGCCAGGTTCTTAGTCTCCCGTCTTCCACTGGCCTCACTCCACCGCTCTTGTATCCACCGTCTGGCCCGCCTCAGTCATAGTTGCCACCAGGCTCCCCACTGCCTGCTCCTTCTCCCTAGACTGAGCTGCCAGACTCCCTGACTGAGTGTCGTGAGCCTGCGCCTCGTGCCTTCAGACCTGTTCGTGCTCGTCGTGTCGCCCGTCCTCATCCTCTGGCTGTCCTAGGCACTCACACTATGGCACTTCGCCTTCCTCTGTTCCATTGCATGTTGCCCTGCTGTCTCCTTTAACGTCCTCTCTTTCTGACGTGCCTGACCTTGAGTCTGACCTTACTTGTGCCGCTAGTCCTACTGTCACTCTTCTCCTCGCTACTCCCGTCACTGACCCTGACTTTGAGTCTACTGCTGCGTTTACCCTAGTCACTGAGCTAGTAGACTTTGCTACTAGGAGTCGTCTTGAGTACGTCGCGAGTCGTGTTACTGAGCCTGAGCATGTCTGTCCTCCGTCCGTCGGGGGTGAGCCTGCCCTTGGCAGTGACGTCCTTGAGGACAGGCAGTTTGAGCTTGAGTGTCTCGCAGCCGCTTTACCTCGTTTCGCATCCATGCTGCTTTGCCCTGAGGGAGACCCGGATGCACTTGACATCCCTACCCCACGCTCTTACGCTGAGGCGATCGCGGGTGAGTACTCCTCTCAGTGGCAGACAGCCATGGACGCAGAGATGGCTTTCTGGAAGTCCACCGGCACCTACATCGACGAGGTTCCTCCTCCTGGGGCGAACATAGTCGATGGCATGTGGATTTCCAGAGTGAAAGGGCCGCCAGGTTCTCCGCATGCCTTCAAGGCGCGTTACGTTGCTCGAGGCTTTAGTCAGCGACAGGGGGTCGACTTCTTCCATACCTTCTCCCCCACCCCGAAGATGACTACTCTTCGGGTGTTGCTGCACGTTGCAGCACAGCGTGACTACGAGCTGCATTCCTTCGACTTCTCCACAGCTTTCTTGCAGGGCAGCCTTCACGAGGAGATCTGGCTGCGCCGCCCACTTGGCTTCACTGGGTCTTTTCCTGCGGGTACCCAGTGGAGCCTCCGGCGGCCAGTCTACGGTCTCCGCCAGGCGCCTCGCAAGTGGCACGACACACTGAGGACGACACTTGCGGCTCTTCGGTTTACTCCTTCCTCTGCTGACCCGCCGTTGTTTCTACGCACCGACACTTCTCTGTCGCCGTTCTACATTCTCGTGTACGTCGACGACTTGGTTTTTGCTACTGCTGACACTGAGGCGCTGGCCCTAGTGAAGGCGGAGCTGCAGGAGAGACACACATACACTGACCTGGGTGAGCTACGCAGCTATCTTGGCTTGCGAATCACCTAGGACAGAGCACGCCGCACCATCACCCTGACTTAGTCACACATGGTGCACCAGGTCCTTCAGCGCTTCGGCTTCCAGTACTCCTCGCCACAGCCCACTCCTCTGCCTACTGGCCACTCGCTCTCAGCCCCACCTTCGGACGAGTCCGTAGAGCCGATCAGTTCGTATCCAGAGCTTGTGGGTTCATGTACCTGATGACATGCACACGACCTGACCTCGCATCCCCTCTCAGCCTTTTGACTCGCTACGTGGCTCCTGGTAGACACCGTAAGGTGCACTGGGATGCTGCGAAGAGGGTACTCCGTTACTTGTGCAGTACATCGGGCATGGGGCTCGTGCTTGGAGGACAGGGTTCAGTGGTACTCACAGGACACTCCGACGCTTCTTGGGCCGACGACCAGGCGACTCAGCGTTTGTCACAAGGTTACACCTTCAGTCTTGGCTCTGGCTCATTCTCGTGGAGGTCCACTCGTTCTTCTTCTGTGCTAGGTTCCAGCTGTGAGGCCGAGATCTACACTGGGGCTATGGCTACACAGGAGCTACGCTAGCTGACCTACCTGCTGTCCGACTTGGGGGAGCGGCCTCATTCTCCTCCAATATGATTTTTTTTTTAAGTGTGTAACACTTTCTAAAAATATGTATTATGAAAGCGCAGCTGACTGCATCGAAGCAAGGCAACTGCGAATGCCTATTCCCGACTATATAATGAGGGCTGGAGGCCATTTGGCCTCCACCCACGTCTTCATTTTCGGAACTTGACAGTTCCGCTTCCCCCCCACCCACCCCTAGTTGATACTTATGTAATGTTTCAGTTGGACGAGAATGTTGTAATTACCCAATTTAAATGAAGCACGTTGCCTTGCAAGAACCAGAAAGCAAGCTTTCTTAATATTGTACGTCGACAACAAGGCCATGCTGGCCTTGTGTCACGAGCAGAGACTGGAGCACAGACCGAAACACATTGCTGTTCACTACTTTCTTGCTCGAGAGCTGAAGCAGCATGGTCAGCTTCGCCTTTCCTACGTGGCATCTCGGGCCAACACTGCTAATGTCTTCACTAAGGCCTTCGGGTCTGGTGATCATCAGCGTTTTTGCAATGCTCTAGGGCTTCTGCCCGTTCTATCTCACCTGCTTGTCTCTTGATCTTGCACTTACCATATTGTACACAAATATTTATATTTATGCCTGCTTGTCTACTCTTGCTAGGTTGCAATCAGTGTACTGCGTTGTTATTATAACTCTGCATGTGAACTGGCCTTGTGGCCGCTTACTTGTGCTCAGAATGTGCGGTGATCTTGAGATCCACCCTAGGCTTTGCATTGTTGTCTTTTTGCCTGACTGGTCTTGTGACCGTTTGTTGTATCCCTCACTTTGCTTAGGGGGGTGTGTCAAAACATATTTGTATGGTCTTAGTTCGTCTAGGCTACAATGAGGTGCTCATTATAGGGTATAACCCCAGTTAGGGTCTCATACTTGTATCTCCCTGTTGCTAGTCATTCATCATTCCTGTCTTCCTACTTAAACACACCCACCACCTGCCACACTTGCCGGCCACGCAGTCTTCCCCTCTCACTCTCCTGCTTGCACCTGCTCCCGCATCCCTCACCCCCCCTCTCCCAACCTCAGCCGCTTTCCTCCTGTGGGCATGCCAGGAGGGCAGTGTGGCTGTGGCAGCGGCAGGCAGCAGGCAGCAGCGAGGGGTTAGCATGGTGCAGACAGGCACCAGGAGGCGGGCGGGCAGCAGGCGATGGGTGAGGACGAGTGGGAGGGGCTGGGGATGGTGCTGCCGGCAAGTGGGGAGAGGCTGGAGCAGCATGGTTGAGCGCAAGTTGTGGGGCAGATGGGTGGGCACTGGGGGCTTAGGAGAAGCGGTGAAGGCCCACAAAGCACCGTGCTGCCCTTCCCTCCAGTTCCTCCCGTGCCTTCTGTGCCTCGACCCATGTATCACACTCCTCGTCCTCTGCCCCCTCCCTCCCTTCTCTGCCCCACACCCCACCTCATCTCTTCCCTGCTCCCCCCTCCTGGTCACCTTCACTGCGCCCGTGTCCCGCCCTGCCATTCATCTGCCCTGCCCCACCTGGAAGCGTCTCGTCCACAGCCTTCCCCTCTCCACCGCCTGACTCAACGCGCTGCAACTCCTGCCGCCCCTCCGCCTCTCGCCCCTGTGCTGCACCTACACTTATCCGCGCGCCGTTCACCACCACCCACTCCACACTGCCACCCGCACCCCTGCCCTCGCCTTCCCCTCCGCCTTCAACCCACTTGCCCTGTGCTGCACTGCTGCCGCCCAATCGCCCACCTTGCCACTCACTCCCAGGCACCCCTCCCATACTCCCCACCACCCTCTCACTCGCTCTCACACCATCTGCACTGCGCACTGCACCGTTCTCTGGCCCTGCCCGCCCTGCCCCTGACTCTACCCCTCGTACTTGGCCCCGTGCCTGCCCCCCGACACCACCACACTCCGGCGTGGCGCCAGCATGCGTCCAAGTAGCACTGCCACCGCCACTGCCACTCAACCCACTGCGCCAGTCCCCCCCAGGCACTCTCTGCGCGGGTCCCCCCCCTTGCGCGGCCTTGGGCGCGAGTGGCAGCGCGGGCGTCCTCTCAGCGCGAGCCACGGCGCGCCCCGCCTGCTCCAGCAGGCGCCGCGTCTCCAGCAGCGATGCCATGGCCGTGGCGTCCCGCGCTGCCAGCGCCTCCAGCGACTGCGCTGCACTCGCTGCCTCCTGCATCAGCACCCTGCCACACATACCACCGCATGCACGCCACATCGCCCAGTGTGGGGAACACGGATGCGGGGAAAGAGAGGCATCAACACCCTGCCGCACGCGCGCCCACACTCATGCACGGCATGAGGTGGGCAAGGCAAGAATCCAGGGATAGAGATGGCTCAGGGTGACACAGCACGGGTGCAACGAGGGGCAAGGGTGGGAGGGCGCCAACGGGAAGCAGGGCGGGTGGAGACAGGGCGAAAGGGGGGGCGTGTAGTGGCAGCAGGCAGCGGCGTACCTTGCTCTCTCCGCCAGCTGTCGGCGCCGCCTCGCTATGAGCTGGCGAGCCAGGCGCCTTTGGTGGGTGGTGGGTGAGAGGGGGAGCAGCGAGGGCACGGGTGCAGCAGAGGGCCTCACCACCGCGCCATTGCCTGCCTCGTCTCCCCCATGCATCCCACCACTCACACTGCCCTGCCCTGCACCGCCATCACCCTCACTGCCCTCCTTGGCCTGCGTGCGGTTCCCACGGGCCTCCACGAGAGTCTTCATGTCCTCCACATCGCTCTCTACTTCCTCTTCCTCCCACCCTCCTTCCCTCTCGCCCTTCCCTTCGTCTTCCCCATCCCTTTCCTCGACCCCCATGGCTTCCTCTCCCCCTTGCAAGCCACCTTCCCCTAGCAAGCCCACACGCACAGCCAACCCTGTGCTCTCCTCGACTCTCTCCTCGCCGCCCACACCCCGCGCCTCCTCCTGCCCCTCACTACCGCCTGCCTGCCGCACGATCAGCACGCGCTTGAACCGCATGCCCCCCCCATCCCCCTGCGCCAGCTCTGCGCCCTGCTGCGCCGCGCCCTGTGCGCCCTGCGCGCCCTCCGCCTGTGCGCTCTCCGCGGCCATCACGGCCTGCACGAACGCCTCGTCCGCCTGCCGCACCACCACCGCCTCCTCCGCGGCCCGCCCCGCTGCCCCCTCCCCGCCCTCGCCTCCCCCTTCCGCCTCTTGTACCCCCGCTGCTGCTGCTCCCGCTGCCGTGTCCTTGGTTGTCTCTCTGCGCTCCCTCTCCCCCACCCGCACTGCCCTGCGCGCTCTCGTCTGCCTGGGCGCGGCAGCAGGCGCGGGGGCGGGCGAAGTGGGGTGGGCGGAAGGCTGGGCGCGCTGCACGCTCTTCATGCCGCGCGCCACGTTGCTGCGGTAGGCCTGCGCGCACAAAGTGGGAGGAGGTGGGGGGAAGGGTGATGAGGAAGGGGAGACAGCGGAGTGGGGGAATAGAAGCAACGCATGTGGTGAGGAGAGCTGCTGGCGCGTGTCGTGGCGAAGCACCGCTACAGCATCACAGCTGCACTCACGGCCTCGTGCCGTGACTCACGGGGTCGGCCCACTTGGCTTTGATGGCTTCTGAGATTCGCCGCCGGTGCTCCTCGCTCTGCCCCCCCCGCCTCACCGCAACCCGCTTCTCGCTGCTTCCACCGCTCCCCTCACCCTCTCCCCACGCCGTTCCCTCCCCCTCGTCCCCGCTCGTCCCGCCATCGCCACGGCCCTTGCCAGCCGCCGCGGAGCCACCCTCTCCGCGCTCTCGTGGCGGCGCGGCGGTGCGTGGCGCACGGCGCTCGCGCTTTGCGGAGGCGCGCGCGAGCACCTCGTCCGCGTACACGACGCGCCCGTTGCCGCACCGCACCAGCTCGCGGTCGCCCGCCAGCCCCACCCGCGCGGCCGCCGCCAGCTCCCCCTGCCACTCCGCCAGCAGCGCCAGCGCCGCCAGGCGCTCCTGCTTTTTGCGCTGCCACGCCGCGCGCATGCGCTCGCGAATCAGCGACCGCGTCTCCGCGCTGCCGTGGAGGGGGAGGACAGCGGCGCAGAGGCGCGCGGGGAGAAGGGGCAGGGGAGACGCAGGGGACGAAGAGGAGGCACAGGGAGCCGTTTCAGAAATGGAGCAGCGGCGAGCGGGCATCAGTGAAATGGCGGCGGCAGGGTGTGGCGTACCTTTGAGTGTGCCCGTGGTCGCGAAGCCGCTCGCGCACCTGCCGCGCAGCAGAGGACACGTGGCAAGATTGGGTTAGAGTGGGGGATCGCTGGAGCACACACGAGGAGAGGCGAGAGCGTTGTGCGTTTCAAAAGAGTAGCACTAGAGTCCAATGCGAGATGGAGGCACGGCGCAAAGGGGCAGCAAGGAGTAACATACCTCGGGGTTACTCATTGCTTGCTTCGTTCTCTCGCGGATCTTCGCACGAACCTCTGGGAAAGAGACAAGGGGGAAGCGAGGCCGCACTTTTAGCGTGGTACAGGGGCAAGGCGGAGGGGAGCGACGGATGCGAGTGTACATGCGGTGGAATGGAGGCTGCGCAACTCATGCGCGCACCGGCGCGGAGAGCGCACGCACCTGCGCTCCACTGCCTGCCCTTGTTCCACGGCACTTTCCCCTTGTTCGCCTCGCTGATGCGCCCTCGCCTCCGCTTCTCCTTCTCCGCCTCGCTCTCCTCCGCTTCCGCCGCGCCTGCTTGCCCCTCCGCCTGCCACCCTGCGCGCTGCTCGTCTCGCACCTCATCCCCGCCTCCGCGCCACCCCGAGGCGCCCGCATCGTCCGCCCGCCAGAACCCTATCCCCTGGCCATTGCGTATCGTGCCATCCGCGCCCACGGCTTGCGCCTGCGCGCTCCTCTGCGCCCGCCACGCCTGCGCCAGCAGGTCGGCCCGCAGCGACGCGGCGGCCACTCCCGGCGCGCAACGCTGCCACTGTGGTGACGGCGGGCCGAGGGCTGTGCGGAGCAGGCGCGCGGTCAAGGGCGCGCGCGGAGGTAGCGCGCGTACTGCCGCGTGCAGCCGGCAGCGGGCGCGAAGGCGATGCGCAGGATGCAGGGTAAAACCAGGCGGTCGCCGCGTGCCGCTCGAGCCCGGGCTCAAGGCAAGGCGACGAGTGGGTCCCCGCGGTCCGCCTCGAGTGTGGCCGGCACTCTCCGGCGCTGCGGGCTGTGCCATCCACCCCTCATGCTCTCCGCCACACCCGGACGTCGCAGCGCGCAGCGGCCCCCGAGCCGCTGCGTTAGTACCACGCCGCACGTCGTGTGCGTGCGGCTGTCGGGTGGCGGTGCAGCGCAGGCAGCAGAGAGACAGCCTCGCGGGGTTGCGAGGCGGAGTGGATGTGAGAAAGACGCGGAGAGAACTGACGGGTGGAGCAGGGAGCAGCGCGGCATGGCGGGAATGGCGCGGACATGGCGGCAGCGCTACTGACGCCATGATCTCGCGCGACCTAGTGACGCAACACATCAAGCGGCAGGGGATATAGGAGCAGCTCCTTGCTGCAGCTAAGCGTCAGTGTGGAAGCACCGTATCCTGCGATTACGTGGCAGCAGCACACTTGACGACGCGGGGTTCCCTCTGATATCACTTTCAAGTTGCGGAAGAGGGTTTAGGGTTTCATACTTAGATATCACTGAGCTGGTGGGGGGAATGAGTGAAGCATCACACCAAAGCAGGTCCGATCAGGGTCACGCGAAAAGTTCATGGTTGGTGAGTTCGGGTTACCCGCGATTAGAGCTGTGATGGATAAGGGCGCGTTTCTTCCCTCGATAGATTTCCCTCGATCTATCGCGGACCTCCTATACTTGAACTCTAGCACCTCAATTCACACGGTAACCAGTTTTCAAGATGGCTTGCGAACGTTCAGTAAATGACGAGTCGGTGCGAATTCGTGCTTACACAGACTTCGTTTTTTTCCCCGCTACGATCCTGCGTAGGATCAGTGCTGGGATCGAACAGAGGTTACGCGTCGTTACGATCGATGAGAGTGATATATTTTCCCCTACACGCTCGATCCTGTCTTCCTGGGTTCGAGATTGGCCCGCGATCGCAAATCTGCTGTCACATCCTACCAACTGTGCCCCGATCCTGCGATCGGTGTGCCCGATCGGTTTTTCACGGCGATCTTGCGATCGATCGAGGGAGAGGACGCGCCCTAAAAAGCTAGCACTGGAGCTGCACTTGCAAGCGACGAGCGAAGCGGAGCTCACTATGGCAAACTCTGTTATGTGTTATTAACCCAAACCACATGTTTGACTAAATGACCAGGTACTATGAACGTATGTTAGGCCCGCTGGTTATATTCCGCTAAAGAATAGGAGGCAGGGCCCAAAATAACAGGGTAAAGACCAATTGTTACCTTTTTTGCCACTTTGTTTTGCTACTACCTCAATTTGGCAAAACGAGATCGTCAACATGGCCTTACAACCGCCATGGCCTTAGCCTGACGCTTTAACCAACACAATGTGTATCAATTTCTTGGCTACAACAGATTCGAGTTTACATAATCGATGCACGGCTTCAAGCTCTATCCAATGGTGTCCTTTTAATGTTCATTACGGAAACCTAAACTGTCAGATTTATATGACTTAGCCTGTGTAGGCTATAGTGGGGTAACATATATGGGGTACAATATTTCTAGGGTTTGTACTTGTACCCAACCACACACTAGTCAATCATTTTCCTCGTTTCTCATCATGGTATCGAGCAGGTTCCCTAGTGGGAACGCTTCCTAGGGCCCACCACAAAATTTTTTTTCCTGCCCGGAGCGCGCTTCGCTCCTGCCCGAGTCGCGCCCCGTGTGCCCCCCCTACCGTCGCGCCCTCTCACGGCCCCTCACGGCCCCTTCGCGTCGCCCTTAGCGGCCCCTCTCACGGCCCCTCGCGCCGCCCTTACGGCCCCTCGCGCCGCCCTTACGGCCCCTCGCGCCGCCCTTACGGCCCCTTACGGCCCCTCGCGCCGCCCGTCGGCCCCTCGCGCCGCCCTTAGCGGCCCCTTACGGCCCCTTGCGCCGTCCCTTACGGCCCCTCGCGCGGCCCCTTACGCCCCTTACGGCCCCTCCCGCGGCCCCTTACGACCCCTTACGGCCCCTCGCGCCGCCCTTAGCGGCCCCTTACGGCCCCTTACGGCCCGTCGCCGCCCTCCGCGGCCCCTCGCGCCGCCCTTCACGGCCCGTCGCCGCCCTCCGCGGCCCCTCGCGCCGCCCTTCACGGCCCGTCGCCGCCCTCCGCGGCCCCTCGCGCCGCCCTTCACGGCCCCTTCGCCGCCCTTCGCGGCCTCTCGCGGCCCTGTCGCCGCCCTTCCCGGCCCGCCGTCGCCGCCCCCGCAGCAGCAGCCGCCGCAGTCCCTACAGCAGCGGCCGCCGCCGTCCCTGCAGCAGCAGCCGCCGCCGTCCCTGCAGCGGAAGCCGCACCTGCCGCAGCCGTCGCCAGCAGCAGCCGCCACCACCTCCCTCGGGGCCGCAGCTGCTGCCGCCGCTGACTGCACCGGCCGGTGCGCCTCGGCCCTACCGGCGCGCCTCGGCCCTCCTCTGCCGGTGCGCCTCGGCCCTACCTGCACGCCTCGGCCCGTCCCTGCCGGTGCGCCTCGGCCCTGCCCCACCACTTGCAGGAGTGTCGCCGCACTGCTGCCACTGCTGCTACTGCCCCTAGCGTGCTGCTACTGCTGTCATGGCTACCCCCAGCGTTCTCGTCTTTGATGCTGAGGGTCGGGCTGTTGACTTTGAGGTCTGGGTCGATGATCTGCTGCTTTTCCTACAGTGCGATAAGAAAGACGGCCTCTCACTGTTCGATCTCACGTCTGGCGCCTCTCCTGCCCCTGCTACCGATGCTGACAGCGCTGTTCACTCCCAGTGGGCCACACGCGATGCTGCTGCCCGTCTTGCTGTGCGTGGTCACTTGCCGTCCTCTGAGCGCGCGCACTTTAGTCAGTACAAGAGTGCTAAGACCTTGTACGACGCTGTCATTGCACGCTACTCTTCCCCTGCCACTGCTGCTCTTAGCCGCCTCATGCTGCCGTACCTGTTCCCTGACCTCGCCGCCTTTCCCACAGTCGCTGACCTCATTACGCACCTTCGCACTAGTGACGCCCGCTACCGCGCTGCGCTTCCTGCTGAGTTCTGCAGCCCCCCCCCAATGTACATCACCCTCTACTACCTAGTCACCCGGCTCCCTGACTCCCTTCGCTCAGTCAGGGACCACTTCCTCTCGGTTTGCCCCACCACACTCACCGTTGACCTCCTCGAGGAGCGCCTCCTGGCAGCAGAGAAGAGTATAGTCGCTGTAGGAGCCTCTCGTGGTGACCCTCGTGCCCCCTTCTTTGAGGGGTGCTCCCCCTCCCCCCTTTTGCCCTCTGTTGCCTCTTCTGCTGCCGTCGACTTAGTTGGCACCGAGTCGGTCGGCGCTGCGTCTGCCCCTAGTGGGAGACGCCGCACCGGCAAGGGCAAGGGGGGCAAGGGCGCTGGAGGGGCTGGCGGGGGTGGTGGAGGTGGCGGTGGAGGCGGCGGAGGGAGTGGGGGTGGCGGTGGGAGTGGTAGCTGGGGTGGGGGCTTCGGTGGCGGCGGTGGAGGCGGAGGCGGCGGCGGCGGTGGCGGTGGCGGTGGGAGCGGAGGCGGTGGCGGTGGCGGCGGTGGCGGAGGTGGCGGCGGTGGAGGTGGAGCTGGTCGGGGTGGCTCTGCGCAGCGGGGCGGCTTCGGTGGTGGTCAGCGCCAGCAGCAGCAGCGCGCTCGTGAGACCCCGCCCCCCCAGCAGCTTCGTGAGTGGTACGCTGCGCGTCAGCGGGGTGGGGGTACTGGTCCTTGTGCCTACGTCCTGTGTACTGGCGACCGCACTGGTGAGCCGTGCGGTGGCCCGCACACCACCCAGCGCTGCTTCGGCCGCCTGACGGACGCTTGGCGTCTCCAGTTCCCTGACGCCACTGAGATCCCCCGCTGGGGCGAGCTGCTTAGGTCGGGGGTTGCTATCTTTGATCTAGACTATGATGCTATTCTTGCTGCCATGTATGTTGTGTCTACTAGTGATGAGGGTAACTGTTACCTGTTTGTTCCGCCTGACCCGGGCATTGAGGCTGCTGCTGTAGGTGCTGGTGAGGCTGCTGCTCTAGGTGCTAGTGCGTCTGCTGCCCCAGGTGCTGGTGAGTCTGCTCTCTCAGGTACCACGTCGGCTCAGGCCTTGCACACTTTCACCCTTGACTCGGGTGCTTCCCGCAATTTCTTCCGAGACCGCACCATACTTACGCCGCTTAGTCGGCCTGTTGCGGTCTCCCTGGCGGACCCCTCTGGGAATCCTGTCCTTGCCCACTTCTCCACTGTCTTACCGTGTCCGGCGGCCCCCTTTGGCATCCTGTCAGGTCTCTACCTCCCCTCGTTCTCCACGAACTTGGTGAGTGGTGCTGATCTACAGGATGGGGGGGTTGACCAGTTCACTCCTGCGAGTCAGCGGGTGACCCACTGTACTTGTGCTCGGACGGGCCGACACTTGGCCACGTTTACCCGTCAGCCGGGGTCGAGCCTGTACACACTGACTACTGAGTCTCCTCCGGTCGCTGAGTCTGGTCAGGTAGCTGCATCGGGTCAGGTGTTTGCTGCGGCGTCCAGGCCTGGTCCTGAGTCTGCTCCCTGCTCGTGTCGTCTCCTGTCCCACCGGACTCTCCTCTGGCACCACCGCCTTGGTCACCCCTCCTTGCCTCGTCTCCGAGGCATGGCCTCCCGTTACATTGTCTCTGGTCTTCCCCGGTCCCTCCCTCCCCTCCCTCCGGGGCCTGCCCCCACCTGCGTTCCCTGCGTCGAGGGGCGGCAGCGCGCCGCTCCTCACTCCTCCGAGTTTCCTCCGACAGAGGCTCCACTGCAGACTCTTCACATGGACGTGTGGGGCCCCACCCGCGTCCGTGGACAGGGTCACGAGCGTTACTTCCTGTTGGTGGTTGACGACTACTCGCGTTACACCACGGTGTTCCCCTTGCGCAGCAAGGGTGACGTCACTGAGGTGTTGATCGACAGGATCCGCGCAGCTCGTCTCCAGCTCAGAGAGAGTTTCGGCTCGGACTTTCCTGTTCTGCGTCTGCACTCTGACAGAGGCGGGGAGTTTTCCTCTGGCCTTCTGGGAGCCTTCTGTCGTGCACAGGGCATCCGCCAGATGTTCACGCTTCCGGCCTCTCCACAGCAAAATGGGATTGCTGAGCGCCGCATTGGCATGGTCATGGATGTCGCTCATACGTCCATGATCCATGCGGCTGCTCCCCATTTTCTGTGGCCGTTCGCGGTTCAGTACGCGGCGCATCAGATCAACCTTCAGCCCCGGGTCTCCTTGCCGGAGACCTCCCCCACCTTGCGGTGGACGGGGAAGGTTGGCGATGCGTCTGCGTTTCGTGTCTGGGGATCTCGGGCGTTTGTCCGCGACTTGTCTGCAGACAAACTGTCCCCCCGTGCTGTTCCCTGCGTC